CTCAAAACACAAGACATACAGATACCCGGAAACACAAACATACACAGATAAAGAAGCAAATGCACAGATATTCAGACAAGAGAGAGAAAGGAAGCAACATGTGAAAGATGAAAAATGTGTGGCCGCCTGCTGCCTCGACTGCCGAGTCCTTGTTAAATTATTCAAAAGTGTAAGCCCTGCTAAGAGGCGCGAAAGAAAAAGTAAAAACTTTAGATTGCATATAATAAAATGCCAGGAAAAATGAAGGCAGCAGAGGCTCAAAGCAGAAGGCTCCACCTAACAGACAGACAGCCTGGGAAATGCAGGAAAAAATACCAAGAAAGGAACTAACGGAGGCCCTTCCCCGAGTTGAGTTGGAATAAAAACCATGGAAAGTCAGGCGACGAAAATATGTTTTATTGATTGTGTAAATAATAAATGCACTTTCGCATTTTACTTGCTTTCTTTTCCACTTGAAAAAGTCAGAATATTATTTTTCCTGCGATTGGTTGGGTCTTAGGTCTGCGTATATTTGCGTGTGAAATGGCTTATTACGGTCACGTTTCACCTATAAAAGCAAAAACAGGAGGGAGGGAGATAAATTAAGAGGGGAAGAGATACCATAGAGGGTGAGAGAAACTAAGAGGGAAGGAGACACTTACAGAGGGTGAGCCACTAAAACGGAGTGCAGACTTAGCCTTCACACGACAAGCCCGACCATGAGGCTAGGCCGATTCCCTGCGGACTTGGTTTCCTGGATTCAGAGCACCTGTCGCCTTGATAATAGACAGGATCTCAGCCATACTAAATTCTCTAGCAGTGAGAAAAGAACAAAAAAAACACACCGAGAAAACCACTAGAAGAGGCTTACTCCATTTCATTCCTGCTCAATGGCTTGCAATTTATTGTTTGCCTCAAAGGTGAAAAATGCTGCAGCAGGCACTCAATTTTCGTCGGTGAAGAGCTTAAATATGCCAAAATTTTTTGGCGAAGAAGAAGTTTTTCTTTCTGTTATTTCTAGCCGAAAAATTACAGCTGGGAATTGCCTTTGAAACATAGCTGGGACTTAATAAAGTTTTTCTTTTTAGAGTTCTCTAGCTGGAAAGTTATTCTAGAAAAGTTCCTAGAGGGGATTTTCTCTCGGCAGGAAGCAGGGAGCTTTAAAACATACTTCTGTCGGAAATACGAAGACAGCTAATTAGTATGTCAGGGGAAGAGGAAAAAGCATAAAGAGAGAAAAGGGAAAAGGAATAAAACCAAACCCATTAAGTAAAAGTGTTTAAAATTAGTCTAATGATAAGGAAGGAGCCCCACAATTTAAATGGCTTTCATGGGTCTGTCGTTTAACATCATTATATTTTCCTTCAATTTCCTGAGTCTCTTGGACCCTTGTGGTCAAGGTGAAAACAAACAAACAAAAAACGTGGAAAAGTCACCAGGCAGTGGCCCTGGGAATTGGATGCTTCGTGCTACATGTGTTTGTATAATTTTCAGGAGCCCCGAAACGCCATATGGGTTGTCCTGTAAGTGGGTTTGCCTCTTCGTGAGTGTGTCAGTATGTATGTGTAGGGTGTTTATTTACCCACGCTGCCGGGTTGGGTTGAGGGTTCTCCTCTTTATTTGTGTGTTTGCCTTTCGGCTTCTGTTCTCGGGGCCCAAACTGTGTAAAAACTGTGTAAAAATCACGTTTAACACATAAATCCAATTGCGGTAACTCTACGCACGTCGGAAGAACGGGGTACACCGAAGGAATGGCAGTGAAAAATGACGAGAAAGGAAAGAAAGCGATGGAGAAACATGGAGGGAGCGGGGATAGCTATGTAATTAATTAGCTGGACACCAAAAAACTGTTTTTATACAGAAATTGCATGTTCAGCAAAACCAGAGATGTGCGGAAAAATATGCCCAACAGAGAAGAACTAAAATTTAAAAAAAATATAACAACTCTATGGGATTTTTCATATAAAAATTTTACAAATAAAAGAGAACGAGAATTTATAGTAGAGAGTGCCGAAGATCTGTGTGGAGTAAAAAATATAGTGAAAGATCACGAAACATCAGCAGAAATTTACTTTGAATTTGTTAAATTTTGCTGTAATATTCTCAACAGTTTCCCAGCAAATATCGATCCCTTGTGACATCCCTAGAGCCAAAGCTTGAATGTTGCAAGGCTCTTTTGTGGCACAATTATTTGACCAAAAATAGCCCAGACATTCCATTCGAAATGTAGAGAGCAAAAGCGCAGAGGGGATGTGCCTGTGCCTCTGTCAAAGCGTCAGGCATTTGTAATTGGGGCAAAAGTATGGACAAGTGGACAGGCTTTAGAGCTGTCAGAATATGTGGCTGACATTACCTGGCAATGGATGTCTCTCTCTCTCTCCCGCTTGCTTTGGTCATATTTTAAATTAATTTTACAGCTCGACAAAAGTTTGTCACATTTCCATTACATTTTGCCACAGAGCCACATTTAGGTGGAAATTATTGACACCAAGTCCCACAGTTTGGAGACCAAAGCGACGTCTTACTCTGCGCCTGATTGATTGCACTCGAGGCTGTGGTTGTGGCTCAGGCTCTACCTCTGTCTCTGTCTTTAGGGCGAGATATTATCTGAGTGTTTGCATAATCCAGTTACAGGCCAGAAGGTTCTTAATTAAGGCATTGCATTTCGAGTGGGTCGGCTATATATTGAACCAGACACAGCCAAACAGACAGCTCCCATTACCAAGGCTAATGGTCACGTGAGCCGCATTTCATTTTCTCAGATAACAGGCGAGTGATGAGCGAAGAGACGACAGCGACTGAGGTATGAGGTGAGAACGAGGAGTTTTCCCATCAACCCATCGCATCATCATTGCGGCGATGCTTCTGTAATTGTCATAATTAAGAATGATGAATGAGTTGGCGAATTGTGTCAGACGTGGATGGGCAAATGCAATGCAACAGGACATCACAAGAGGCAATCCTCTGTAGATAGTAAATGTAACTCTCTTTGGAGATGAGAGCGTGAGAGCAGGGATTTACTCACTCTGGAGCTGCACTCGTTTGATGGAATATTTCAGAGTGTTTAAATCTGCAGATGAGATCTTAAGCAGTTGGAATGCAGTTGCTATCAGGCCCCTCCCTTTCTTCCTTAGCCCACACTCTTTGCTTCTCCCCTAAAGCTGACTCACGCTGCCATCTCCAGAGTTTCCAATCTCTGAAGTTGCGTGTCCCAGGGCCTCCATGTCTCGCATATTTGTTAATTGTTTTCAATTGCATGTTCTTCTGCCTTTTTGCCTCTTTCCTCCCAACTGCATTCCATTGGGGAATGCCCGCTCCGTCCCGGTCGCTTGTGGCATTCCTTTGTGGCTTGTGGAAACGGAAGTTCTTAAGTCAATCACTCGTTGTGGCTGGAGTCTTTTGCTGTAGCTCTTTAGCTACAGAATGGAAGCACTCTATAAAGACGGGGAGTCTCTGCCACTCTTTAAAGTCGCTTAATTCCATGTTCTGTGGCTCTTCTGTTCTGTCTGTCTGTCTGCCACTTTTTCCTGATGCATGCTCCACAAATTAAAGTTGAAAAGTTATTTTAAATGAAAATGTTAAAATGTTGTACATTCTTTGGAATTTGCCTTGCCGCTTCCTTCTGCCACTTTGTCTTCATTCCACCTCTTTAGTCTTTCTTCCACCTCTTTGTCTCTCTTCCTCCACTTTTTATATACCATTTGGAATTTCTCTTCCATCTCCGCGTTGTCTTTTTATTTATTTGTTGTGTCGCTTGCCATTTCCTTGTTCTTCTTGGCCCAGAGACAAAACAGATTAAATAGATAATTTCAATTTGTTCTGTGGATTAAAAGCGCAGCACTGCAATGGAATTATTTCTCCGAAATTCATTACAAAACTCCGTTCGAGGCAGCAGCGAGTTCACTTGCAAGCTGATTCCTCGGAGTCGTTAAATTTCAAGTTACTTTTGCTGAGATGTTTAATTACTTAATTGTTATCTTAAGATGCGATTACCCCTTGGCATGCATTTGAATTTAATTGCACTTTCCGTGGAATAAACCTCACTCCTGAAATTGTTTATACCCTGACCTTTCTCCCTGCAGCATTGTAGAGTTTCTCAAAATGGGTTTTAAACTAAATTTTTGGACATTTTGCTTATCAGTCATAAAATGTAATAATTTTGTGACTGACGTCAGCCTTTTTCCTGCACTGGAAAAACATTAAAACAAAGTCCACCTCCACCTCTGATTATTTTGCTGATTTTCCCTGGTGTTTGCATGAATTAGCCACGACAGGGAAAATAGGGGAAAAGTAATCAAAATCCGAAAATGCATATAAATGAAATAATTATAATTGTTTCAAGGAATGTGCAAACACAGTGGAGGAATGTTTCCGTGCTGACTCTATCGTGTTTTTAATGTGAATTTAAAGAATTGTCCTTTTTTGCATAATGATATCTTCCCATTCGCTTGTTACTGGGCAGCTGTCGAATGGCTCGGGGCGTATGCTTTATCCGGCATTTCGATGGATGAATTTTTGCACTGAAATTCAATGTAATAAATCCCTAAAATTGTGGGAACCTAATGGATGGTTGACTTTTTGATGGACAAGCATAGAAAAAATGGAGAAAAATTGAGAAACAATTGGAGTGGTCTTGCACCACAAGTTAGTGGGTTGGATGCCCCTGTGTACATATTGGGCTATTAATAAAACATGTTCCACTCACTCTTATGTATATTCTATGTATGTTTTTTTCCCTGTGGTTGTGTTCCTTTCAAGCAGAAAGAGCTCTCCACACAAATCACATAGTCAAGAACGGGCCAGTGCACACATCCATCCAGCCAGCTATCGAGGGAGGAGAAGCAGGTCACACATCGCATCCATCCAGCCATCGAGGGAGAAGAACATCCATCGAGGGAGAAGGAGAAGTAGTAGCAGCAGCTGTCAGCCAACGACCTTGCTGCATGTTGGCCAAGCACCAGATAGCACACACATCCCCCAATAGCTCAGTAGAACAGCTCAACTCAGCTCTCTCCTCCAGTAGCAGCTAAGCCCCAAAACTCCCTCACAGCCAAATGTATGCCGGGCGAGCGACACAATTTGCCAAAACCATCAGCAGCATGGCTTGCAGCATACAGAAGCAGCAGCCACAAGCCGCAGCACAGAACGTAGCCACAGGCATATCCACAGCCATGACGATGACGACGACGACGACGACGACGACGACGACAGCAACCTCATCCACAGCCCCATCCTCATCGAGTGGTGCAGTGGCGACAGCGGCAGTAGTTCCTGATGTCCGACGTGGAGCTGGTGGCTCTAGTGGAGCGGGCACTGTGCCCTCCACACCGAAATCAACCAAGACTTCGGCTCAACCGCGTGGCTCCCTGCCAACGGATGTAAATCTGCCCCCGTTGGAATTTCAATGGCCGCCGCCGGTGCCTGTTTCGACGCACACCAGCAATTTGCGACTGAACATGATGAATCAGGATCCCAAGGACCTGCACACGGCACGGGCCATGATTGAGGAGCTGCGCTCCAAGGTGCGATTTCAAACGGAGCACATTATGAAGTGGCGCAAGGCATACGCCATGCAGGTGAGTCCGAGAAAAGGAAGAGCGGTTTGGTTTTTGATACTAGATTATAGAACAAAAAAATAATTTTCAGAACAGAAAATCTGCAACAAAATTTAACTTTTGAAAAGAAGCTATGAGGGAAAGATGTTGAACTAGATATTTGATAATTTGGATGACTTTAGGAACTGAAAATGTGCCACGAATGTATACGTGAAATATATTGAAATATAAATCCGTTAATTTTAAATGGTTTAGGAACTAAAGGATTAAAAAATATTTAGCTGTTGGAAGGAGTTTATAAAAAAAAGAGATTCCTACAACTAGGTTTCTTTTCGGTACAGATAGGGTTTCTTATTTCCACTATTATATGGTTTTGATTTTAATACATTTCAGTTTACCATTGGTATATTGGAGATTATTGTAGGAAGTTGTACATCTGTAGCACAAAATTTGCTTGTGCTAGAAGCTTTCAAAGATTTTCCTTGATAAAATGTTGTAAAAGAGTTCAACAATGATGGGAGATACTGCATTGACACTGTTTTGAATGAAAACCGAAGGAAAATGTAGTCCAAATTAAGCTCCCCGAATATCAAAGGCCTATCCAGATGTCTGAAAAATTCTTCAAATAATGAAAATTCAGTGTATCAGTTCTAGCTCTCAAAAGATCATAGATTTATAATTTCAAGAAACCCGAAAATCGGGCTACAATTATTAATAGTCTGACAGTACAGTAGATCCCAAATGGCTAAAAAATACTTTAAATAATGCCACCAAAACCTCACCATATCATACTACCCCAAATCTACCTCACAGGTGCAGCAGCATTATCGCTATCAAAAGGAGAAATCCGATCAGATGAACTCGCTGACGTCGCAGCTGCTGCTGCTGGAGTCCAGGCTGAAGCGAAAGCAGAAGCAAATCTCCAGCCTGCTCAACCATCGAGAGCTGACAATTGCGCGGCAACAGAAGGTCATTGATACGCTGTCCTCGCGGCTGGTGGATCACGGACTGGAGACAATCGATGCGAGCTATGCCAATGAGTTGGACTCGCTGAACGACTCGGATTCGGCGGTGGTGCTGGAGGACATTGATTCGGACAGCACCATGACATTGGGCACGCGACGAAGGAGCAGTGGCGGAGGAGGAGTGCTAGGCAGCGATGGCATCACCATCGTTCGATCGATATCCGATGCAATTGAAACGAATCTGAATAAATATGGAGCTGCACGGCGGAACAATTGCTTCCTGCGACGTCCGGACATCCTGGAAACTGTTTATTCGGTGGAAGAGGACCCCGAACCCACACCCGATGTGGCGGAGAAGCGAGATAAATTCAAGAATCGATCGGACAAAGCCTTGAGCTCGAGCTCCACCGAGGGACAAATCGATGGCGTCAGCCCCACGGCTTCTGGCGGTGCGGATAAAGCCAAAGAGTCGTCGTCATCGATGAGTGTCGATGGAGGCAGTGCCGTGCCGCGTCGACAGTTGGGTGCCCTGAAGCGATCCCCCAGCCATGATGCACCGTGCACTACGGTGAGTGTCAAAGTGCCGCAGTTGCAACCATCTCCACAGCAGTCACAGCAAGAGCCGCTCAATGGCAAGAATCAGGTTAGCAGGGAGTCCCTTTAAACCCTTCTCAAACTGCCACTAATACGTATTCCGCTCTTCCTTTAGGTACTCTCCTACAATCGTGTTATGTTGAACCATCGATCGGTGACAAAACCGAAGGACGTCAAGTACAAGCGCATCAACAAGGCCAAGTCCAAGAGTCTTGAGGAGCTGCGTGGGCGTCTTAAGAATCTGGTGGAACGACCGCCCGGCCTGGAGGGTGGCTATCCCTCGGGTATGATGCCACAGACGGCACAGTCGTATGCGTGACATTTGCCACAGCAGCCAGAAGACGCTGGCAGCCCCAAGAAGCCCAGGCAGATGGAGCACATAGATGTATGTCGAAGGGGTTCCTCCACCACTCAAATGGTGTCAGAGGCAGATGAAGAGCCAGATGGTGGCAGGCATAGCTGTCCGAAGCGTTCAATGACCCTGCCACGGATATTAGTGCCACATGCCACAAACAGCAGCAGTAGCGGCAGCGGTGGCAGTGGCACTGGTAGTGGCAGTGGTGGGCGTGGCAGTTTCTAGCAATTAAAGAAATTTTTCATACGCAATTGTGATAAAAAGTGAAACCGTTTTTCCTTCTACCTTTCCTCTCTGTTAGTCCTCTTTTGGGGAGGATGTCTGCTAGGGCTCTTCTTGGAGATTAAGTCTCCAAAATGTATCTTTTAGTGGTTACATTTATCTTTTATAATGTAACTCCTGATTTCTTTGGTTTATCTTTCATCTGATATAAACCCCCATAGAGAAGTAACTTCTGATGATATCTTTGGCTAGCTCTGCCACCCTCCCCTTAAAGATACACCTCTATCATTCAGTTGTTTCTCTATTGTAACATTTGTTTCCTTCGGATCCAACCATCCGACTATCCTTTGCTCAGTTCTTCAGAAAAACTTTGCATTTAATTTAGTTTTAGTTTTTAATTTGTAACATACAACAAAACGGAACTGCATTTTTGACTTGACATTTATTATGTATAATTTTCACACACACACACATACACTCACATATACAAATAAATCATTAAACATATACAACAAAAAACATTTGTCTATCTTTCTGTCTATTATTTGTTTTTTGTTGGCTAACAAGAAGCGTATGAAAAATTTCAAACGTCTGAAATGTGTAAGTGTAAGTGAAAGGAAATGGTGTGTTTTTGGTCCTATAAGGATAAGAGGCTCTGCTTTGAGGACAATATTTGCCACAGGAAATAAAATCTAAGAAGGTTTAAGTTTGAGGAAGGGAAGTAGTGAAGGCAGTGAAAGAAGTCGAAGGGTGACCGGAAGAGTAGAGGAGTCCTCATTGTGAGTGGGTGAAATCTAGGCTAGACAAAGGATACTACAACAAATATACCTATTAATAATAGTAACTACTTATAGTATTTGCTAGTTAGAAATGTAAGACTTTTGCAGATCAGAGCATATTTTTAGCTTAAATTAAAGAGAGATTAAAAATATATTTTCCGCTTGAATTAATGGTGGCAATGGCTATGGCTTTCCCAGTTCCCTTTGTAGTACAACTTTCCAAAAATGTAGAAAATCTCTAACACCCCAAGCACCACAGAAAAACACCGAAAAAATAATTACCCTTTGGATTAATTCAGAATTTAGTTCGTAAGCTCTAACTCCATGGACTGTCTTCTAGATAACAGAATTTAAAATATATAAAAATATGAATACAAAATATATATTTTCTTACTAACAAAATCACAAGCTAACTATTTTTACATTTATTACTAAATAAAATATAAATCTAGTAGATCTAAGTGTTAGTTTTGTTTAATTTTTGGCTTATTATTTTACGATTATCAAGAGCTCTGGGGGCAGCTGAAGTTTCCCCCCGCAAGAGCCAGACGTCAGATGTACCTTGAAAAATATGCGTTAAAATATTGAGAAAAATATAAATGCAGCATTAACTGTGTAGCTTCATGCAAATGTAGATGTAAAAATAAAACCTCTAAGCTCTTCAACAAAAATGGCTGCTATACAACCGAAAAATCAATTGAAATATGGAAATAAAATGTGTTAATCGACAAAACTAAAGTACAATGCTCACGAAAACAAAACCCAGCTGTAATACATACAAAAACAATACAATACCAAAACATATAGCGACTATATATCGAATGTTATATCAAATATTTATACAATATATAAAACTCGGTGTTTCAGTGTGAAAAAATAGCCAACAAAATGTACCTACTAAAACAATACAATAAAATACACAAACAATTGTTGTTGTCGTTCTCATCCTACGCCACCTCCTCAGCAGAGCTAAACAAAAACTGTTTCAAAAACGTTTCTTAAACCTCATATTATGAATATGTACATACATATATACAGATATATACTTAACGTCAATGTCAAATGTCAATGTAGAAATATGATATGAATAATTATTGTGTCAATTGTAATTAATTGCATTTCTTTTTTTTTGTTTTTGTTTTTGAAGAGTACGAAGCAGCGCATAAATATTTGTCAGACTCGAACATAAAGCGTGCGATTCTAAATGTAATAATAAGCATATATAATACAAGTTAGAAAAGCTTAGGAATACTATTTAATTTAAGGAAACTAATAGTTGTAAGAATTCAATAACCCAAAGCCAAAATGCCAGCTGAAGATTAACGAAGTAAAGATTGAAGGAAGAGCGGGTGGAGAAAATATACATACATAGAATATTTTTGATTTGAGCAGAAGGAGGAGTTGAAATTAGAAATAAAATTTCCATTAAACTGCTTTTTATATCATATTTTGATATATTTGATATAAAAAGCGGCTAGGAATGGATAGAGGAATACAATTTGCTGTAAAGAGATACAAATATGAAGGAGAAATATGATTTTTAGTGGGCAAATCTCAGCTTAAGTATAGCAAGAGAATGGAAAATGAAGCACCAGCTGAAAGGGAGAGTGTTACAGGTCATCCCAGTAAACAGTAGAAAAATGATTTCCTCAATCCCCCATTTCCCCTATTATTATATTTGATATAAACGGAGTATAAACGTATGCGGATAGCAACAGTTTAAAGACAAATATAAACGTTTATTTCAGTTTGTAAATACATGCAAAAATTGCTGAATATAAATGTGTTTAGAGAGAGAGAGAGAGAGAGACGTACCGGCTCCCCCAACGAGAGATTCTTCTATCGATTCTGTATAATGCAGGAAAATAAATACCCAGGCAGACGCATACAGACAAATATACCTAAGTATATGGCAGAGTAAGACATGCAATTCGTAAATCTAATTGATATTTGAACGATAATCTTAGCCGATAATCGTTTGTGTGTGTGTATATATTGATGACCCGTACAGTGTGTGTGCGGGCGATGCAGCAACTTTTGGCATCTTTTCTCGTGTTTTGCTTCAATTTTGCTGCAGGCACCATGCCCCATAACTTTTGCTCATGTCTACAGAACATTTTGAATATTATTATAGTCGTCGACAGAATACTATTTTCTACTTATGGCTTAATAAAACACGAAAAACAACAACAAAACGATACTTTTGGGTGTGGGATTTGTGGTTTGTGGATGTCGATTCAGTTGCCGTTGAGCTGCGATTGCGGAAACATGTCAAGATCAGAGCGGAGTCTGCTGCTGCTCCTTATCAGCATCGCTGGCTGTGGCTTGGGGCTTATCTGCCTGGTGAGTGACTGCCTGGACTGACTGACTGATAAGAATTCTCTGCAGTGTATTGATTTATTCGATTGTCAGGCTACGGCTGATAGTGCTCGTGCGTACAATCCCCTGGCACGTCCCGTGGCCGAGGCTGTCGAGCGGCTGTACAATCAGGTGCTGCACTCCACCATTGAGGATGCACGGCAGCGACTGCCACACCTCAACGACAGCGAGGCCATCGATAAGCAATACTTTGAGGATTTGGATGCGACTCTGAGCAACGAGGATTACTACAGCACGGCGTACTACATCTTTGCGTGGATCAACAGCCAACTCATGGCCCAGCAGCGGCCCGACAAGCTGCTCCTCGAAGTCCTGCCCTCCGAGAAGGAAGCCATTAGGAATTTCTTCCTCAAAGTGCGACCACCGCTGGAAAGGTATCTGCATCGCAGCCATCAAACGCGGCCCGAGCTGTTAACCAATGTCACGCGTTGGGCAGCCGAACAGCAGGACTCGGTGGTCATGTCTTACATTGAGTTTCCACGCAGTCTGCAGGCGCAGCTGCCAGAACTGCAGCTTATGGACTACACAAAGCTGGCCAAAGCGTTGATCGCGGGTGTGGCCACGGGCATTTGGGGATCGCTGTAGTTCAGTTTGTAATAAATAAAGAATTGCAATTAAAGTAAGTAACTTTATAGATCAAAGTACAGGGATTCAAAATGGATCATTTGAGAGATTGAAGGGATTTATCAAGTATCTGAGATTCCATTTGTAATTTTCATTTCTTAAATTGAATTATACATTTTTGGGCTTTAATTTAAATCTTAAGCTTATTTGTAAACTTATGTTATTTCAATTCCCCGCCTGACATACTGATGTTAAACAAACTCTTTTATACCCGGTACTCGAAGAGTAAATAGGGTATATTGTATTGGGAAACGTTTCCGACCCCATAAAGTTTATATAACAATATATCGGCATCAATAGCCGAGTCGATAGAGCCATGTCGTCTGTCCGTCTGTCCGTCCGTCCGTCCGTCCGTCCGTCTTGTTCATCGGCTAGTTCTCAGGGAATGACCATATCTATGAGATCCGATTGGATCATTATTATAGCCACAATGAAGGAGTTAATTTCCAGTGGCTAAACCCACCCCGTCCTGCAGCCTATATTTGTTTTTGCACATTCTTTCATTCACACTCTGCTTCGCGCAGACACGACTCTGCCTCTGCCTCGTTTCTGACCTGACTCTGCAGTGTGTGGCTCTAGGGGACGTTGGCGAGCTAAAGGAGTGTGTTGGCGTGAGTAGAGTTGTTGATGTAGATGACAGATGAAGAAAAAATGTAAAATTTGACAAATAACCGCTAAGGTGCATATGTAGTACTGGGTGCCGGGTATAAAAGTTGTGACGTGTAAGAAGCGTCTCACACGTCCCTTCTCGTTTTATCTTAATGTAACTTTTAAATGTTTAAAAAAAAATGATAGAAAACCATCCTAATTTTTCGTGGATTTCTTAATTCAAATAAAAGTAATTGGACATTGGGTAGATGTGGACTTGGATCTCTGTATATTTGTTAGTTTTTTTTAGTGCTTTATTCTCCACATTAATTCCTTCGTTTATATGCCGTTTTCGTAGTTGGATTCTTTCCTACATTTTTCATATTTCTAATTATTTATTTGTTTATTGCTCCACCATTTTGTAAATCTTCCCATTGATCAGCCTAAAAGTCTCATCGTATTCCTTTAGCACCATTTTGACCTTCTGCATAGAGCTCTCAATAATCCAGAACTCCTCCTCGTTGCTCGATCCGCCCATGTAGTGCACCTGCAGTGCCTCCAATCGAGCCCTGAGCTCCGTATAGCCATGTCTCAGGGATCGAAACTTACGCTGGACACGCCGTTGCTGGCATTGACTGCCCGGCTGGCGGCACTGCGCCACAAACTGATAGAGTTCGTGGCCCAGCTGCTCCAGGGTCAGCGCCCACTGATTGATGTCTTCATTGAATTGTTTCAATGGTGTTGCTGTCACTTGCTGCTCATTATCCTGCTGCTGCCTCATGAGTTTTCGTAACTCTCGCAGGCTGTCGCCACTTGCGGGTGAGCCAACGGCAACTGTCAACTGAAGTTTATTGTTTGATTCGATTTAATGAAGGGTTTATGGGCACTACCTGTAATGCAAATACAATGACGAGTACTCCAATGGGTCGCAGCAGCATGCTCTCAGAATTTCGTTGGAGCATTTTGAACGTTCTTATCACGCCAGGCAATGTCTAAAGACTGATGATTATAGACTGCTGCTGTAACTGCCTCTGCCTCGGTCGTAGCTCCCACCATGATTAACGGGGCGGTACTGTGTGTGTTTTTTGTGTAGTTACATCACAGCTCAAGTTTGGGGCCTTATAAAAAGCTCCTCGCACGCATTGGAGTTGCTCATAATATTCGAAGTCATTCCGGAGTCTCAGTCAACAGCATGTGGCGTCTACTTTGTCTCCTAGCAGCACTGCAATTTGCGGTAAGAATATTTTCTGGTTGCCTTTTTGCGGACTCTCTCTAACGTTGCTGGCCACGTTTAGGGCGCTGCACCCATTAGCAGCGGCACTCAGCTGGCGTACGACGTTACCAACGAGATCTTTGCCATTGTGGAGACTTCCTGCCTGGAGACTGCCCGGCTGCTGCAGCGAGTCCTTGACGATGCGGAGCTGCTGATGCCACCAAACACACAGAGCGAGATCCTGGAGGCCTTTGGGGAGTTTGTGGATCTCGTGAAGCAGATCGACATGGATGACTCGGTGCAGCTGGAGCTGCTTGCCACCGATCTCGACTATCTCTCGGATATCTTTGATCTTAAGGACTCTGCGGAGCTGGACTCGGAGGCGGATCGAATGGTTATGCGTCTGCTGCGCCAGCATGGCATCGATGATTTTGAGGACATGCTGCTCGACAGATTCGATGCCGCATTGAAGCGGATCGAGGGAAAGGTGGAGTCCTACATCGGTGGCATGTCAGAGAGCAAACTAATGCGGAAAACAGAGCTTCTCGATTGGTTTGAAACATTTAAAAACGAAAAGGATACACTCGATAAACTGTCCTTGCTGCTGGAAAGTGATTATATATTTTAGATAGAGAGAAAAAACCTCAAAGAATTTATTTATAATATCAAAAACATTGTTTCACAATATGTAAGTAAAAAGCAAAATTTTGAATATTTATTTGTTTGTTGTTTAACAAAATTAGTTGAATAAATATAGGAAGAATTAAGGAAGAATATTTCTTAATTACGCCGCATGGCTCGCAGATTTCTTTGGGTTCTTTGACCACCTTCTGGATGTACTTTAAGCATCTGATTTAATTTGTATTCAAATGCATATAAAATATATAGAAAATGTTGCTTATTTTTAATGTTTATGCCATGACACTCATTTATTTATTGCAACGTAGTTTAACATTGAACTTAAACGCAAAATACATCAGTGGGGGCACGTGAGAGATTGCACTTTGATTGTTAGACCTGAAATCTCTCAGAGATAACAGCTAGAACCCAAAAGATTAAAGTGTGTGACAACGCCATTTCCTGGGAAAATTTATATATATTTTAAGCAATTCAAAAACTAAAAGTAATTCCTGGAGGCAGATCCAGATCTTGGCATTCTCGAGTCATACACATTATGCTCGATCTGCGGCGGTCCATTGCCGTCGGAGCTGTAGCTGTAATGCTCGGAGCGTTGGAAATTATTCGAAAAACTGCCAACTGGTGGGCCACTGCCAACTGGGAAGCCACTGCCAATGGGAGAGCCACCCCCAGCAAAGAAGGGCGTCATGGAGCTACGCATGGGGGAATGAGGTAGCTGCAAAAATTAAAGCACTTAAAATAGCAAAAAAAAAGTCTGGAAATTGCCCGAAGAATACATACAGCATTGGGATTGCCACCGGAAAAGCCCGGATTTGATGGAAAAGGCTGCGGAAATGTGGAATGGAATGTAGAGGGGAATGTAGAATCCTGCAAGAATGGATCTGCATTAGGTCTTCCACGAGGGCGGCCAGAAACGAAGGAGCTTCTGGGTGCACCCGAGCCTTGGAAAATGCCGAAAGAGGGTGGTGTCTGCCGAAATGGGAATATGCAATGATTAGAGGGGATAATGGTTAAATATTCATAAACCTACCGGAGGCACATACTGAGGATACACGGGATAGTTACGATTATTCTCAGTTTCCTCCGATTCTTCGACTTCTTCTGTTTCCTCATGCATGAGTGTATCATTCTGTCGCTGCCTTTGTCTGTTTCTGCCACTCACTGAGGGAAAGTTATTCACATGGGCATTGGGGCGACGATTGTTGTGTGGAGACTCCAAGTTTCTCCTATCGAAAGTGGTTGGCTGCCCCAAAGGAGTCCAAGGAGATTAGTGCGCAAAAGTAGGAGAAATAGTCATAGAAATAAAGCTACCTGTGGCCTATACTGGGGATACTCGGGATAAGACTCCCCCGACGCTGTGACAGCTTCGACTTCGCCATCGACTTTCTGGGAAAGGTGTGGGAAAATGAGTTTTACTAAAGTTTTCTACCTCGTTATATCTCTCTTCACTTGTGTACCTCCAAAAACTCCACAGCATCTGTGGGCTGTCCTTGCTGTACTTCATTGGGTATTTGTGACTTTCCTCCTCCCACCGGCTTGAACAAATCTGTGGGTAAATTTCGTGTATCGCGCACAATCCGTAGTTTTTGCTGCGGCAAAACAGTGCCACAAAGCTGCAAAGATTGGGAGGTTCAGTGGAGAACTTCCTACTATATAAATCCAATGCTGTGTGCACTCACAGCCTGGCCAATGAATGGCAAAAGCAGCAGCAGCGGAGAGCAGCAAGGGAGAAGCAACATTTCCGAAGGGGGAAGCTGGCAGCTTGGTCTCTATCGGGCGATGGTCGTAGGCACTGTGAGTGGCTGCAGCGGCATGCACTGGCAATTAAATCCGATGATCGTCCGAGTCGACAACTCGTTTGACTGGAATGCACTTCGCAAGGTGAGAGAATCAACGCCTCGGGGTTATCAGAACGCGGGGGAAAAGCCAATCCAAGTCACAGACGTGAAGCGACAGGGAAATCAATAAATTCAATACTTTTAGAGCGTACAAAATACGTAATTACGAGTGTTTATTCGAGTATATTCTAGTTCTGAGAGAGGGCAGGTGATGGGAATGGGAATAGGAGTGAGGCGCCGCCTTAGAATCGTCCATAACCGCCATAGGGGGAGCCATAGCCACGACCCGGACTGGGGTAGACCACGGGACGACGTGGCACAATGTACAGCTGTGGATAGCCCCCATAGCCCGGGGGCCTAAGTGCCACATCTTCTGCCTCCTCATCGGACTTGTCCTTGTCCTTGCCAATGGAATCCTTCTCGTCGGAGGAGTCCTCGTTGTCATCCTTGTGAGGATGTTCGTGGCGGAAGCCGTAGCCTGGAGCGGGTCCAAAGCTCGGTCCAGGCCCGAAGCTCGGATAAGGTCCTGGGCGATGGAATGTGGGTGGCTGGTAGGGCGCGTAGGCTGGCCGGAAGGGCGGATACCCGGGATACGAAGGATATGCGGGATGGGCAGCTGTGGGCTCCTCTGCTGTCTGCTTGTCGCCTTCCTTGGGCGCCGAATCCTTGTGCACTGGTCGAGGCCCAAATACAAGGCCAGGATAGCCATGGGCATAAGGATACGACTGGGGATGATGCGGATAAGGATACGGATGGGGATACGGATGAGGACGTGGCTCATGTTTTGCTGTCGTCAATTTTGGCGTTGTTGTTGTTGGAATTGTCGTTTCTGGCTCCGGTTCTGGCGTCGTTGTGGACACGGCAACGGCGGAGGCATCATTCTGTTCACCCAAACCATCGTCCAGCTGCTGCAGTCCCTCCTCGGGTGCGGCAGTGGCTTCGTTCTCCGTCATGAGTTGCGGCAGCGTTGTCGTCTCGGGCACTGTGGGGGCTGTCGTCGTAGTCGTCTCCAGCTTTGGTTCATGCTGTGGGGGATGATGTGGCTCATAGTGAGGCGAAGCCTTGGGTTGGTCAACGTACTGCTGAGACGACTCCGGATGAACATCGTCCAGTGTCTGCTCATCGCTGTAGACAGAGGCATCGATGGCTGCCTTTGCCTCGTCGAGACTCAACTGCGCACAGCAGAGGGCCAGAAGCTGCCAGAAGAGAGAGAGAGCCAGTTAGTGGAATGTTCTGGCCATAAGTCCAATCTCTCTGCTCGACTTACCTGGCCAAGCAGCAAGAGCTTTATGAACATCTCGTGGCTGTTTCGCAATGTGTACTAATTGCTGGCATTGCCGGGGCTTGTGGCTTTTATAGTCACAGCAGCAGCATCGCCCACGATTATGGAAATTACAGAGTGAATCTACTAATCAACACTTGGGTTTACTCATTCATTCATCCACTCACACACTCAGGCTAACGCTCACACTCACACTCAGACAGCCACGCGACGCGTCGAAAAACCCGACCACTGCATCCATCTCTGCCCTCAGGTGTTTCACGCGTTTTGTGCGCGTCTTTCGGGAGATTCCCATGCCCGTTCCCTGCCATTCGCGTCGCTCGTTAAAATCCAGAACAGAACCGCACCCAACGACACTTTTAATCAATTTCAAATGGAGCAAATGGAGCAATGGGGAGATTGCCATGTCGCAGCAGCTCTCTAATCAATTTCAAGTGCAACGGTCGATCCCTGCCTATAAAGGTGGCTTTGCCCCCCCGGCTTGCGGCTTGTTGCAACGCAACGCCTGACCTTGACATGCCGTCACGCAAAGCGGTAAGGATTGGTGTTGAGTTCGGCTGGGGATGGCCCCTTTGAAAGCTTCCGTGCGCTGGCACTGGCTGGTTTCGTTGCAGATATATTTGGGAATCCTTTTTCTGTTGCTGGTGCATTTGGCGGCCATAGAAGCGCAAGAGGGTGAAGAAACAAAAGCGGGAGAAGAAGCTGCAACAGAGGCACCAGCGGGAGATGCGGCTAAGACAGAGGCAACAGCGGGTGAAGGAGTTACAGGAGAGACTACAGCAGGAGAAGGCGCCCCAGGGCAGACTACAGGAGGAGAAGGAGCTCCAGGGGAGACTGCGGCAAGTGAACTACTTCCAGGGGAGACTACGGCCGGAGCTCCAGGTGAGACAACCGCAGCAGATGGCGCACCTGGAGATACTACAACAGGAGCTGCAAGTGAGACTACAGCCGGAGATGGTGTTCCAGGTGAGACTTCAGCAGGAGGAGATGGAGCTCCAGGTGAGATTACCGCAGGGGCAGAGACAACCGCTGCAGATGGAGCGACGACAGAGAAGCCTGCAGCTGGTGGCGCTCCAGACGAGTCGACGAGAACTTCGAAGGAGAAGCCTGCAGAAGAAGTAAGTCCCACAGAGAAGCCTGCTGAGGGAGCCAAGCCTACGGGATCCGCCGGAGAAGGTATAGCAGCATCTGGCAACAAAAATATGAATATAAATAATATCATAGTCGGAAATGTCCCAGCACTTGGCGCCGAGCAGGAAGATGCAGGCAATCAGACATCCACTGACAGTTCCGAGGCAGCTCCTGACAGTTTCAAAAGCGCCGGAGAAGATGAAAAAGACACCAAGGAAGAGAATGGAGAGAAGGGAGAAGACGACACCACGGACAAAGATTATTTATCTAATGGGAATGGTACGCCGACGACCTTGTACGATGAACAGACTCCAGGCACGAATCCCACTTCGCCACCCGATCCCACCACCACCACTGGCATCATGGATCTGATGACCTACATGCCAGAGGACAATGCCGGCGATCCGTTTGTGAGTCCTGGGGCCTCCCACAGGCCCGGCTCACGGCACGTGAAGGCGCACGATGGCTTCCACAGTCTGACGACGGAGCAGTATTGGGCGCACTGGAACGATCGTTTCACCACCAAGTAATCAAGGAACGGCCATCACTGGAGAGACTAGCTGCAGTGAATGGGAATGGGCGATGACTGGTGGCGATGGATGGTGGCTGACAAATTAAATTAAACACAAATAAAGTAACGAAGTAGTCGAAATAACGTGAAATGGAGGAGAGATTTAGAGTAGAGTTTACGAGTATTTATTGGGTAAGGAGTGCAGTGCATTGCAGTGCCGTATCGTGTCCTGGAAATACCATAAAAATCCCAAATTGGCACTGAAAATAGCAAATTTTTCGTTATGCCAGCAATTTTGTATGCAATTAATGCATAATACAAGAAAGTGGAATAAGCCACAAAGCATTGGCTTTCTACATCCATATTTATTCAGTAAATATTTTCTAAATAGAAGCAACACTCCCCAACAGCTCTCAGGGGCAAGGCTGCGGTTGTATGACTAATTAAATGGAACTTGCAAAACGTTGAAAAAGGCGAAATCAAAGTGAAATGTGCATCACTCGTAGACGATTTTGACTGCCAAGATGCATGACCCTAAAAAACGGGCAGAAGCAATAGCAGATCTCTGGAATAGAATGCAATATCAACGGGAAAAAGACGGATATCCACCGACCACTTATAAGTCTAAGATTGCTGGTAGCACCGCTGATAGTGTAAGTAGAGCTGCTCCAACTACTGATGATACTACAGCTCCTGCTGTTGCTACGACAGTTGCTGCTCCTGACACTTCCACAGCTGCTCCATAGTTGAAGATGATCCGATCTGCAGAACATAACCTAACCAAATAAATGCATAAAAAACAATGAGAAAATCTTTAGGAAATGGGAAGCGTTTTCCCACCATCTATTCTCCCACTTGCCGACCTTGAAAAGACCCACAACTTTCCAGCAAAATAATTAATTTTCTTTGGTGTGTGCCACAATTAATGGGACATTTTACACAGCCCCATGCCAAATGCTTGCTAGATTGGAACACAGAACCATGGCTGTCACCAACGTCATGCGGTTGTGTTTCTTTTGTTGGGTAAGCTGTTCCTGTTTTTTGGTTGTGGAACTCTTATGAATACTCCAAATGCTAGCTGGTGCTCTTAATGTGCTCTCAGTTGGCTGGTGCTGGAAAGTTGCGGCATGTACGCGCCCACGATGGCTTCCACAACATCGAGAGAGAGGCAGCCTGGCGGCATTCGCCACGTCGGAGGGCGCATCAAGCAAAAAATCGCCCGAATAGTCAGGGATGATGATTCGTATTCGCGAAGGTTGCAGCTACATGCGATCGTTAGAATCAGAAGATCAATTAATATCATATAAATAAATGTATACAATAAAAACAATAGAAAGCTGAAAAATTGCCAACTTTCAGATTGCTTAATGGATGACTGAGAACTGAATAGTTCGTCGAGCATTCAGGGGGATTGTAATTGCAGTACAATTCTTGCTCCAGTTTACACACAACCCCTGGTTACGATTCCCTCATCTAAAGTGCCTCCCACACACCTTAGCTCCTAAGCATTCTAATTAAAATTAGTTGCACTAATCAAAAACGGAAATGCATGGTAGATTGCAGCCCCAGTGATGTCCAACAACAGAGTGGACTAAGATCCATATTCCGTATTCCATGATGTTTTGGTTCTCTCTATTCTGCTTGCACGTGTTTGCGTGCTGTGTTGAGGCACATGGCCCGCCAATCGATCTGCTGATTCATGAGCCAAATGATAGGCCTCATCATGTGCGTAAGCACAATATGCACAGACCGCCATACAAGCGTTACGATTGGTACATTCAGTGAGTAGTGTCTGTGAGCTTTGAGGAATAGACAGACAGACAAAGGAGTGGACCTTTGTACATTTCCTTTCAGCTATCCAAAGGACCAGCGACCCGATGAGCCCCCAACTAGGAAGTCCCACGATCAATTGCCTGGCAATACGGCAGCGGACTTGACTGCTGCGGTGGTGGATGAAAAGCAAAAGGCGACGCAACTGGAAGAGTTGGAGACCTCAGCCAGGCTGAACAAAGCTGCGCAATGGAAAGAGCAGCTGTAAGTCGAGAAAGATCGAGATCGAGTTAAATGCCACCAATCAAAAATGATAATTTGCAGTGCCGCCGCCCCAGTGCTGGGCGAACAGGAAACTCTGAGAATTCTTTTCGAAATCGAGTATCTGGCCAAGAAAATTTTGGAAGCTAGACAACTTGTAAAACGAAGGTCAAAACATCATCACCGTCGCAGGCATCACTAATTCGATTTGCGCTCAAATTCCATTTCTAATTTAAATAGGGAGTAAAGAGGAGTTGAGCGTAGAGTTCTCCAAACATAAGCTTTTCGTGTCTGAAATGAATCGTTTCGTGTTCCAGGTGGTGAGTGGTTTTCTTGCTTTGCTCAGACGCCAACAACCTTAACCTTTGCCCACAGTTGCTTTTAGTGGTGGTGGTGCTGGCCATTGGTGACACTTTTGCTGCCACTTTTCTGCCCAAGGGCGACGCTGAAGCGCAGGGGAAATGGCTGAAGAAGAACTACCCATATCTGGCCGATTCTTGCGCCACCACACACACTCTGACGCCTGAAAAAAGGGAGGAAATGCTCAGAAAGCTGCGGATTGTATCAGAGCATTTGGCCACAGTCTGCGATGAGTTTATGGGCGATAATAAATCAAATTAAACGCTTAAATCGCTTAAGGCGTTGAGACAGTCACGTGACTCATTTCACTATAGACAGTCACAGCAAGATGTCCACTCTCTGCTGGCTAGTGTGCGCTTCCATGCTGCTGGGCGTTGCCTGTGCCACGACGTGGCAGGAGGCCTTTAGCCGGGAGGAGCTGCAAAAGTACGGCCCAAAGCGTTTGATCGAATGGATCAAGGCCAATTATCCGAACATTGCAGAGGTGTGCTGGAGCAAGTACCGTGCCGTGATGAATCCCGGCGGAGGAGGTGTGCTGCCCGCAGTAGAGCTACAAAAGTTCAAGGATTATGTGAGGAGGCAACTGGTGCTGTTGCATGTGATATGCAACGATGGAATCTATGAACTTTACAAGACTTAAATGAAATGGAGTCTCAGAGTCATCAGTTTAGCCAGCAGCGGCTGCAACTTTAATTGTAACTATCTTTTCTGGGGAGGGGTTCCACTTAATAAACGTCGACATCGAAGTTTTGCTTAATTACTGACTGTCGTCTCCACACACAGGCTATCTGGAATCTGGCCCATTTGCCACTTAGTTCTTCCACTTGTTGCTCTCGTAGTCCCACTTGGAGGTCAAACCAGTCACAGGGTTCATCTCCAAATCAATGATACGCTTCAGCTGTGCCTTCTGATGCTCCTCATCGAAGGTAACTGGCAGCTCATCGTAGACTAAAAGTAAACGTTTTAACCCTATTTTCTTGCTATTCATTTCAGTTGGACTCACCAAACAGATTCATCAGGATGGCAATCCAGATGGCAGCGGCTGTGAAGAGCAGGCTAACGCCCAAGTGCTGCTTCCACTCACCGGTACCGGCCTGGATCTCGGCAATGGTCTGACAGAAGCTGGCACGGTACAGGGCCTTGATCTCCTGTGGGCTCAGCTTCTTCCAGTCACCCTGCTCCTTGGCGCGCAGAGCATTGATCTCGTTGTTGGGCTCGCGGAAGCGCACAGCCGGCATGGGGTAGTCCACACGGTCGGCGTAGCAGGCGGTGCCGTTCCATCCGTATCCGACAACCTCACGCTTGCCAATCTTGTCCAGAGTGTGGATGGAGGCAACGCTGCCCACCTGAGCGTTTCGTGGCAACTGGGAGACCAGCTGGCGGAGCACAGCGTTGTTGATTAGTCTGAGAGCCATTCTATTGCAGTTGCTGTACACACACGCAGATCGGAAGAGACAGAGAGAGAAAACGGGTGAGTAAATGACGCACTAGGTTATGTAACACTTGCAGCAACTCCGTGATGTATAAATCACGGTGTTAGCATAGTCGCCAGCCCATCAAAGGCGTTGCCGGTACACCCCTTGCCATCTGCCAAGCCAGAGTCGGGCCTTCTTGGCATAATATTCCCATTTTTCACAGCTGCTGCTGGTGCAGGTGTTGTGTAATCGGCCAGCCAGCGACACCTTCTCTGTCGCCCTGGCCCCCACTAGCTGGCAATGGCGCTGTACAGCTTTTCGAATGTTCCTAGCCTTCCATTATATACTATTTTAGGCTATTTGGCTCACTGGTTTAACACTATTTTCGTATTTAAACAATTTTTTCGTTTACCTAACTCGATGCAAAAATTAATAGAAACAGTGTGACCAGTGTGACGAAATTATCGATAAAATATACCGCCCACCACTTTTGTTGTTGTTGGTATTTAATTGCTTTAAGCGCGACGATGACACCGCATTGACCAAATATTTCAGCTCGCTGTCTATATATTCTTGAAAAGGGTATGTTCGGTGTTGCTGTTGAGATTTTGTTATCAGGGAATGCAAGGTGATGCATTGGATATGTTCATATAATTTATGATATGATGCTAAGTTAAAAAGTGTGGTCGTGGGTAAGAGTTTAACAAGTTTCATGGATTGAAGTGTAAGTGTAGGTGTAAGTGCAGAGCAAAAGAAAATAGCAACAGCAGAAGGTTGCTCCTCAAGATGACACCGAGTTAAGCCGACGTGAATTAATCCAGTATGTTTCGATTCACAACTCCAAATTTGTCCAATTCTCTAATGAAAGGAGGGTCTTTTGTGAGAAATAACTCTTTTATTTATTACTTTCGTTGGAGAGGTTTCAAATTGTGCGATTGTAACTATCGTGGCTTTTCACGGGTTATTGTTGGGTGGCCACCATCGATGTTTTCCCATCCCTGGTTTCCAGCGGCACTATCGATCAAATATACTAAAATATACCTTCTCATTTTAAAAATATACCGTAGTCTTAAATTTATTCCTAGTTTTGATGTTCTATTTAATTTTACTAGCTCGCAAAAACTTTTAACACTGAAAGTACAATTTAATCCGATTGAAGGAACCTTTTGCTTATTATAAATACAAATTTTTATTGGATTGTGTACCTCATGGGCTTTTATTTTTCAAATTGGTATTTGCATTTTTCATTAATATCAACCCTTCTGGAAGCCATGCAGCCTTGTTTTCACTATGTAAATGTACATATGTAAATTATTAAAAGAGGCATGTGTATGTTAACTGATAACATTGAAAACTATTTAAAAATTGCGCGCGCAACAAAAAAGGATACGAATTCTATTGTTTTCCTGAAAGGAAAGGGAACGGGGAGATAGTTTAATATTATAATAAGCTTGGAGCGGTTTGGGAGCCAGTTCGTGTATCTTTAAAAAACAATTGGGGATAGACTCCGGTTCACGCATTTGGAATTATTCCTTTTTTTTTTGCTAAGGAACACCGGATAATGGATAGGGATAATGGATAATGGAACACCAGTAAAAAAATAATACAATTAATTTGATTGCAATATTGCAAATATGTAATACATGTTGTGTTCTCTATTTTGTCAGCTATCAGTCATGCAGGTCTGTTATCCAAGCGAACGGTTTTCAGCCAGAAGAACAACCTGGATGCAGTTTTAGCTACTTATATGAATAAACCGAAATAATATTAGCTTCTTTGTAAAAAGTATTGCATACTTTCAGGCGGGTTAAATGGCCTATTTTGAAAAATTGTATATAAAAGGCATATCCCTTCGACCTTGAGGCCCTTAATGGACTCAATTGATAGGATTGCAAATGGCGAAGTAATAGAAATTATATCTTTAATCCTTGTTGTCCTTGTAGCGTCCTTGTTTGAAATAGATCGGCGAAGATATCCTGATCATGAAAAAGAAATTCCAAAACGGGTGGCGTTTCCGCGCTATTCACGCAGGTTTCTCGTACAAAACACGGAAAAACAATTACGCAGCCCTAGTTCGAGAACTCGCCCACCATGTGGACGCCACAAAAAAGGTGTTTCAGAGTGGCGCACCACAATCGACGATGGCCACTGTTGGTACTAACTTTTGTTGACATCAAAAATTTGTTGTACTAGACAATTTTCAGACCGAGGATCAGGCCAATATAAATCAGCAGAAAGTAGCTGGATTTAATTTGTTTCATTCGGTCAAAGGCTGAGCGATACGAAACTTACCTAGTACATATTCGCGACCCTTTGTTAGGTAGCAGCAGTGGGCGCGAAATTCAAATGATCGGATAATGTGTAGTTAGTTTTAGAGTTGTTTAAACTTTAAATCTCTGTTGTAAATCGAAAGAAAGTGCTTGACATTATTGAGTCCTTGTAAAATACCAAGGATCTAGGACATTGCTACCTCCGCTATTTGTTGGCCGTTCGGGACATGCAATCGCTTCCTGTGACCAGAAAAGTGTCCTTGATCCTTGTTCCTTTGGTAGGACCTCCTCAATTATAATTATGTCGATTTCTCAGCCATTTGTGGGCCGATCAGGTCGTGCCATGGCTTCCTGCCACCGGAAAAACTCAAGCACAATAAAGTGAATGCCAAAAAAGTTGTTTTATATTTAATTTTATTTTGATTTGATGTCATATCTCATAAATGCACACATTTAAATTAGACAGAGACACATAAATTGTTGTATTGTATCATATAGTTTTACTGTTAGTATGGAGAGTACTTTGTGGGGAGAAGGGGGCTTGTAGTTCAGTTTTTCATTTAGCTATTTGTCCAGGGATCAGAAGGCCTTTTACGTATTTATGTGCGCATATCTCCTGTTCTTAAGCGCGGCTTGGCATAATAAATATTTAAATGGTACTTTGCAGGGTAGGGACTTCTTTTATAAATATGCAATATGTTTGTAACAATATTTAATGATAATTACGCAAATAATTAAACTAAAGTGAAAGCTTTATCCTTCAAATATACACACATACATCTTGTAAATTGGTAGTAGCAAAAACTTATAGCTACATTTACAATAGGTTTAGATATTAGTTTACGATTATTCTCATACGATCTCTGCCGGGGCTTGGGCTGTGGATTATGGTATAAAAACTGGTACCGCCGTACAGTTGTGTCACTTAAGACTAGGGGATTTTGGTGTTGCTATGTACAAAAACGATGTGTTTCTCAATTGTTTAACATTTCATGTTAGTTAAGGTTCTCTTCTCTCATTTTAGGGGGGGTTTGGTTCGAGCATTGAAGCGCAGCTGGGGGCCCAATTACGAGAGTTGAATGTGATTCTAAATGGTTCGGGTGTGGTTGTGGTTGTGGTTGTGGTTGGAGATGGACAATTTGCATTTTTAACAAGTGCGCTAAAAAGTGCAATTTACTCTAGATGTGGGAATGGATCGGATCATGGGGAGGATATCGAGAAGATACAGAAATAGAGTTGGTGCAAATGGAAACCTCTTGGAACTGCTTAAGAACTCGGCTGCGAAAGTAGTGCAAGAAATCTCATTTGTGCGGATTAGGGGGACAGCTAGGACAGAGAGTGCAGCGGGCCCACAGCTTACGTGTTCGGGGTTAGTCCTTTTTGAATTTGGCATGTACGAAGTGGAGACGTTTACTCGGCGCCCGCAGAGCTGTCTGGCGTCACATTGGAGTCCAGACTGGCGCAGTCCGACTCCTGATCCTGCGCCTCCGAATAGTTGGCAGCCTCCTGCAGACGCATCAGCATATTGAGCTGTGGAATTCCAAACCAAAATTAGTATTAGAAATAGCAATAGACATGGGCAAAAAACTCACCAAGGGATCCTGGTTCTCTCCGTTTGTCAATGCCACGCCCTCGAGGCCCACATCCTCGGCATTGATCTGTCGCAGCGGTGGCACCGAGTCGGGCCCATAGGGCCACGGATAGGAGTTGCGAATGAAGGCAGAGGGATCGTTCCAGGCTCCGCCACGGCGCCCATACAGCTGCACTCCCTCGCGCACTGCCTCGACCAGGTAGGGCGACAGATGATAGTTCCAAATGTCGGTGAACCACACCTGCGAGTCCTTCAGGTCCAGCGGGCAGGAGAGGAACAGGCGCGGCCCAATGGTCACGTCACTGGAGCTGTGCACTTCCAGGAACCGATTGATGTGCTGCCAGACGGAGGGCAGCCAGGCCAGCACCGAAGCCAGCTCTGGCTGCGGATGCTGCGTCTGCAGTTCCAGCTGGAACAGTCGCCGCCGCAAGAAGCGTCCAAGGAAGCCCTTGACGGGTTCCATGTGATTGGCCGTAAGGACCTGCAAAGGGTATCGGAATTAGTTGCCAATACAAGGGACTCGGAGTGCCATGATAACCTACCCATCGAAAATTGTGATGCAGCTGCAGATTGGTCGTGTTGCAGGTGGCCTGCGACATGGTGCCAATGATGCAGGGCAATTTATTGGCCGGTCCGGCACTCAGCAGACAGGAGAAGACATCGCCCAGGGCCGAGGCATGGTGCAAGTTGTCCAGAATGATCACAGAAGGCAACTCCGAAGCGCCATTCGCAATGGCCGCCTGCTCGGCAATGTGCCCCAAATACTGCCGCAGATCCTTTGAGGATTTGTGGTCCACGCTGTAGGAATAAAAGGAATTTAGTTCCAACATTTCCTCCTCTCTTCAGGGTGCGACTTACTTGAACGTGGCAATGGCCTCTGAGGGATTTCCGCGTCCCGCACGCGCCACCAGAAACTCGGCCAAACGACGCGCCAGATAGGACTTGCCAGTGCCGCTCGGACCGCACAGTATGAGTCGCCTGTGCTCCGTGAGCAGACTGATGTAGCGGTGCACAATGCTGCGCGGAATGAGGCTGTCAAAGGCCAGACTGCCAACGCCCTGCAGGCAGATGTACAGCGTCCGGACACTGCCGACAATGTAGCCGCAGGGCAGCAGCTCGGGGAAACCCATCTCTGGACCGCGCTTAGCCTCGCCCAGATGGTACGACGTGATGGAGTCCGTGTTGAGGCCCAGGTTGGTGCCCGGATCGATGCGCGCCACATAGTCCTTGAAGGTCTTGCGCACAATGTAGTCCAGGTTCTGCCAGGTCGTCTTGCCCGAGATGTAGGTGCAGGCGACGATAAACTCGTTGGAGCTAGCTGCCGCGAAGCTCACCTTTCGCTCGCCCTGCGACTGGGCAGCAGCCTCGTGGCTGGCAATGATCGAGCCGTTGGCATAGAAGCCATCCAGCTCCTGCAACTCCTCGCAGTACTTGGCAAACGACTCGGGCTGTCCGAGGTAGCAGGCGATGGCAATCTTCTTGCCGTCGCACACATCGGGCAGATCTTCGACGGCGCTGGGCATGTGCACGGGACTGGTCAACGGTGCTGCCTCCAAGGCCGGCGGCGGAGGCGTCAGATCGATGTGTGTGCTGGGACTGAGAGGCGCCACAGCAGCGGTGTTTGGTGCTGGCGGTGGCGGTGGCTCTGGCGCCGGTGCTGGAGGCATGCAATCCTCCTCCAACTCCTCACTGAGGCGTGCCGGCAGCTCCATGGGCGGTCGCGCACTGCCATCGGCCAGCGAGTAGCGGCGCGAGACCTCAGAGCTGCCCGCTACCGAGCCATTGGGGCTGATTGCCTGCCCAAGGCTCACCTCGGAGCCGGCCAGGGAGCGGGTTGTGACCAGCTTCTGCAGACGCTCGTTGTTCTGCTTGAGGGACATCATTTCGGCGCGCATCTTGTTCATCATGTCCTTGAGGCTCTCCAGCTGCGAGGCGGAGCTGAGAGCCTCCAGCCGTATGTCCGTGAGCACGAGATCCTTCTCGCGCAGCTGCTTCTTGAGATCCTCCACCACCTGCTGATCCTCCCCGTCGATGGCATCGATGGGCTTGGCATTGTCAATCAGCGTCAGGGTCTTGGCTGGGCTGCTCTGCTTGCTGTTGGGCAACGGCGGTGCCGGCTGAGTGGCCAAAGCAGCCAGACCCAGCGGCTCACCGCCATGGCCATTGGGCAGCGTTGCCTTCCCCGAGCCGTGCTCCTGCTGATTGTGGTGGTGATGCTGATGCTGGTGTCCCACATGGCGACTAGTCTTCGAGATCTTGGCATTGCGAGAAAAGGCCTTGGTGAAGCTGCTTCGCAGCCAGCCCTTCTTCTTGTTGGCCTTGTTCTTATCCTGCGCCGCGGAGCAGCCCGAGCTAATGGAGTTCAACGAGCACATCGAATCCGTGCTGTGCTGACGCACCATGCCCAGTCCAAGAGGCATGCCATTGCCATTGCCATTGCTGGTGGACCGACTGCCACCGGGTCCTGGCGGTGGCTTCTGATCGCCGGCCTGCGACTGCGACTGCATCTGATGCTGATTCTGTCCCATGCTCTGCATATGCGCTGTGGTGAGTCCCGCCTGTATCGACTGCTTCCTCAGCAGCTCAATCGTCTGCCGCATGTCCGTCAGTTCGCCATCCTTGCGCTCCGACGTTGCCGTCAGCTGCTGCAGGCGATTGGTCATGTTGGTCAGCGATTGCTCAAACGCAGTCACCACATGGGCCTGGAAAAATACACAAAATGCAGAGAGAGAGAGAGAGAGAGAGGTTAGTCCATGGTGCTTGGTGCTTGGTGCTTGATGCTTTAGGGGCTGACGGGATAATTTATCATCACACAATTGTGACTCTCCCATAACGATATAACCAATCCCCCAGTCCTTCTCCAAAGACCCCTCCTCTATGAGCATATCTCTCATTTCGTGTCTGGCATTTTAAAGCTATCTACAGTTCTGCTCGGTTCTCTACTGTTCTGTTCTGTTCTGTTCTGTTTGGTTGCCTGTTTTATATGCAAGACGTTGCATTTGCCACTTGCAACTCACCTCTGCAATCGCCGCACATGAGTCATGGACATGAGCAGACGAGTGCAAAAGGGTCTAAGCTGGGCTTGAAAAACTTTCGAAACGATTCGCCCACCGTTACACTGAAGGAAATAACCGTAAAGAATGAAGGAAAAACCTTGTAAATATGGAAAATTGGTAAGCGAAACGAAAAGAGGTTAAGAAATCATAGGAGCAGCCAAGGAATATAGGATTAGTCTGTATATGGTAAGGGTTCAATCCTTTTTATAATCAACGATGTGTACTTAATGCCTGGATCATCTCCATTAAGCCACACAAATACCCTTTTGCAGATCTTTAATCTCTCATATTTTATTCCGAAATTACCTTTATTCTTACCATTTCAAATCACTCTTTCTAGCTTCCAAAACAGTCCCAAAAATACATTTGTAAACCACATTGTAGCTGCGGTTTTTCGTTGCAGTGTACCAGCACTCGTATATTTATGCATTAGAACCACAGAACCCTGTGTCAACCCTTTGGCTAGATCCCCCAACAGAGCTGTTTTGTTCAACTATTTTTTGCCAGCTTCGGGTATTTCTTTATGATGCAACGTGACTGGCAGCAGAGAGAGGGAGAGAGACAGCGCTGTTATGGCTACTATGGGACGGGGCTGGTGCAGACTGCTGGAGATGGAAGGCCTGGGGGCCAGACAGCTGCCTGAGACTGACTGAGCCGAAGATGAACAACTGAGAGAGACCCAGAGTGTAACTTAAAGTAACTAATGAGCGCCATTAGAGAAGAGTTTGGGCAGCAGCGAAGTGCAGGGCAGAGTTCAAAGTGACTCACAGCGGAAGTTGTAATTGCAATTGGACAGTCGGACACTCGGACACTCGGACAGCCAGACAGTGATACAGATTGAAGACATTCGCCTCTTGCCAGCGGAAACACTGAGTGAATGAGTTAATTTAACTCAAGAAAAAGTGCCATTCATCAAAATTAAATCGAAATAAAAGAGAGAGAGAGAGAAAAGTGCCTTTTCCCCCACAACGATTTAACATTTGTATTATTATCAAATTAGGCGACATGCCAGGCATTTTAAATGCCTTTTTCGCTCCACTGCCAGACTAATTAAATAATACAATTTGCAAACGTGATCACAACAGGGTGCTGGTGCTGCCACCTCCCTTCCCTCCTTCCACACATTGCCACACACACACACACACACACATTACAATCAACACGATTCAAATTAAAAATCCACGTACAGCCCATAAACCCACAGAGAATGGGAGGGGGTGGAGAATCACTCTCACAACTCCTGCCAAGGGGGGGCAACCCTTTGAAACTTTCTTCGTGTCTCCGCGTCGCATCATTTGTCTGCCAGCTCACGTAAGCGACAGGCATAAAAATTGATTACGATGCGTATGAGTAACGTGACACCAAGGGGAGGATGTCTCTCGCCTGCCACAGAGGATGCCCCAACAATTAAACAGTATTATCGCGTGGCACTTTTTATGCTCCGAGCAGAGATCGTAAAAGTAGAAGCACTCTGAAGCACTTCCAAGTGGCAGTGCCATGAGCTCAGCTTTGGCTCAATTATCTGCTCGTAAATCCATGGATTCACACTCGGACACGGACTGACCTTGAACTGAGATTCAACCCGCATGGAGGCTCCGCTGAGACTTTGTTTACCCATAGAGCTACAGGGGGCAGGGGAGACAGGGGACTGTGTGACGACTCCAATGAAAAACCTCAACCAGTGGTCGCGCCACAATTTGCATAAGCGATACGCAAATTAAAATGGAAAACGTGTTAGATGTTTATCGTAAAGTGAGCCAATCCATGGGATACGCGGCAGAGACTACGCTGGGTGTTCCACAGAAAGCGAATCATAGACGAATGAAATTCGTCTACATCGAAATGTAGAATTACTGGCAAAGTAGCACAGTACCTACAGTGTCATTGGGGGGGTGTCGATTAGCTATGGAAATGGAGATTAAGCGGGGAATAGAGCTAGGGAAAATCACTGCCAAACAATTGCATGAATCGTGGCAGCCCCAGAGGCAAATGCTTGGACATTTACTTAGCTATTTCTGATCAGATATTTCGCTCATCGCTGCACTGACAAATAATTGCACGCCTCCACATAAGTGTCTTCCTATTTGTTTTCCATTTAATAATTTACTATGCCATTTGTGGCTAGCTCTTGCTCATATCTCACATGAGGTCATGCCTATATATATTTTATATCCAGGGAATTAATGAACCGCATGCCAATGCTAATAATGCTATGAACCCGGGCTCAATTTTGCTTGGCCAATAAATACATAGACGCGGCTCAAATTGCTTGGCCAATAAAACAAAACTGCGATAAGCAATTTAATTCGAGATAATTATATAGTGGGGGCAGCTTTCGGTAGCCAGCCAGCACCTTAAATGGCAAGAACATCAAGCGGAAAACGTTTTACACTTTAATTTGCAGTTGCTTTTTTTGTCAAGATTATAGTGGCAGATTTTTCAAGATTATGAAGTGGAACTCCCACCTGGCAAAGGCTGTGAAAAGTGCTCCAAGAAAAGCTCTGAAAAATGCTCTGAAAAATGCTTTGAAAAAATGCTCTGAATTGCCGCAGATTTATTTTCTCTATGAATTTCCCTCGTTTTATCATTCCCTTATTACACCATTAGCTTTCTGGCTTCCCCAACATCCTTTAGCTTCATCCTCTCTTGTCCCCCATTTCAGCTTTCATTTTCTCATACAATTCACTTGATGATTCATCAGCTCCACCCCTCACGTACGAGACTCAACCTAATGACAGCAACAAAGACAACTTCCATGGACAGCAAAGCAAAGGGTCTTTAGGAAAAGAAAACACAGAAAGAGGGAGACCTCCGCCAAAGAAAGGAAACGCACGCCAAACTCTAAAAGTCAGACATCGAAGAGGGAGGAACAAAAAATAAATGGCAAATGGCAATGCAGAAGGGAAATACTTGTAGAAGAGTAGCTCAGAAAATGAGCAACAAAAAAATGAAGAAGCAACGCCGCAAAGGGAAACAGTCCCCCAAAGCATCTAAGTATTCCTCTTATGCTTTCCCTGCAGCTCCATTCATTGAGCTAAAAATTTGAACAGTGGCTCTCAAAATGTAAGACTGTAAGTGTGACCAGCGTGGAGGGGCACAGGCAGTGTTGCTGCTGCTGCTGCTGCTGCTGCTGCTGTTGTTGCACTTCATTTGTACGTTGAAGGCAACGAAGCGTTAAACGGTTATGCATCAGCTGCTAGCGACACGCAGTCACAGAGAGAGCGTGAGAGAGAGAGAGATGGGAGAAAGAGAGAGGAGGAGAAGGGAATACAAGAGAGAGAGATAGAAAGAACAAAGTGCGATAGGGAGAGATAACAAAAATGCAGCAAGTCGCTGGGGCCATATGCTAAATGGCCAACGCAAAAAAAAAACATTAGCAATGGGAAATGCTTACAAACAAAAAGAGAAAAGGAGAGATGAAAACTGCTCGAAGCTAAGGATATCCTTTAAAGGAATTATTTGAGAGAAAAGTGTTAAAACCAGGGACCGCAGCTGTTATAAGTCTTTGAATAAAAATATCCGTTCAAGTAAAAATATGTTGTAGCATCTATAATAAGAAAACAAATATGCAGTCGAACGCGTTAATTCAATTGCAATATTCATTTGAATCCCGATTAAACCTCCAATGTCCCTCCCTTGCTCCCATTCCTGCCAAACTTCCCTTCAACATCACACAACCATCTCTTACAGGGTACCCGAGGCAATGGCAACTTTAATTTGACTGTCAATGTGGCGGTTGCGCTTCGGCTGCTGGCTCTGTGGCTGCCACTGTTGCTGTTGCTGTTGCTGCCGCTGCTGCTGTTGCCACTGATGCATTGCTGAATTTATTGCTGGCAATTTGCAGACACAAAACAGAGTTCAAGTTCAATGGCAGAGCAACTACTACACACAAAATAAGTTGCACACTTTTTACCATTCCCAAATTGTACGGCAAAGCGAGTTTAAGTTGTGCAAGCAATAAAACAAAAATCGCCAGTTGCTGATAGTAGTTGGCAGGGCAGCTATCGGGAATGATAAGAGCTGTAGCTGTGTCCGTAGCTGTGTCTATGTCTTTGTCTCCCCCCAGATAAGGTTAGACCTTCGATTAGCTGTTGTAGTTGCTGGCTCTTTGATTAGCGACAAACTGACTTAAGTAGGTCGCCCGTTGGTGGACAGTCTTGGTGTCTTGGTGTTGAATTTATAGCCATCGGTTGACATTTTCTACACAAATTCGTAATGTTGCATAAATCATGCTGCAACAAATGCTGCTGCTATGCCCCCACTTGAAAATTCTGTGGCAGACACAGACACACATGAGGCGGCCATGTGTTGCCAAAAATGGTTCTCTTTGCACCCGAATGTCTTGTATCTTGTGTTTTGTAGCTCTGTATCTTGTAGCAGTATCTGTATCTGTATCTCTGGGCATGTGTGGGTGCTGCTGCTGCTGCCCGTGGGCGTGTGCACTTTGACCTTTCCAATGATTTATGCGCTCAACAAACAGCAGGAACATGCCACAGCCACAGTTGCAAGCTGCAACTGCCACTGCAACACTTGATATTTTTTTGTGGATTTACATAAAAAGGCAGGGGCAATAGGAGCAGTTGGAGGAGAAGAACTCTAACAATTGTCACATGGCTTCCATTCCTGATTTATTATGCGGATGCAGG